TACCAGTGAAAGATACTGTATGTGATGTATATGTACTGAGTAATGGAGTATAAGATAATGTAACTAATAATGGACAATATAATTATTAATAATTATTAATACTGACCTGATGATGGAGCAGTAGAACTTACTGATGAAGAACTGTCTAATGAATTATTACGTACTATATAAAAAATATATAAAAAATAATAATAATTTATTATGCATGCAGATAACTGTATACCATTAACAGTAGCTGATGGTCCATATCCAATAACATTAACAGGAATGATAGTAACAGTGTAGTTAGCATCAGTAAGAGGTAGTCCAGTGATAGTAATATTAGTATCATTAGTATTATTAGTGTATATAATACTGTTTGATGTATTGTATACTTTAATAATGTAATACTGAATAGGAGGAACTGGTATAGTAGAATAGACCTAAGAAATATTATCAACACATCTACTGTATGGCGGAAAATTTTTGTGGCCCAAAAATTTTGCGGATCCATTCAAAAATCAAGTTTGTGGCTTTAATTTTTGTGGTTTTCTACTTTTTGGCCATCTTGAACTGTATTAAATCACTTTTTGCGGGTTTTATTTTTGTGGATTTTGAAAAAAAAACGCAAAATCCATTAAAATTTTGGGTCACAAAAATTTTCCGCTATATGGTATTGAATGTAATATCTTAACATACTTGAGTGTTATTCCACCATATTGTAATAGTATCAGTTGATATCTGATCCCAACTAATATTAACAACTTGAGCTGGTACTATAAGAAATACAATGAGTGTGTGTGTGTATAGTACTTACCATTCCATATATACTGTATTAATGATGAAGGAGGTCCTTCTCTTCCAATAGTATCAATAGGAATAATAATAAATGAATAATTAGTACCAATAATGAGAGAAGGTACAGTTATATTAGAATTGTTCCCAATAGTGCTGTGATTGTATTGAGAAGATGATCCATTGCTGTCATTAACTGTAACTTTATAGTTCACTATGCATTGTATGTTCTGTTCATGTAACCAATTAATAAATATTGTATTATTATTAATTGGAGTTATACTTATATTACTCACAGCTACTGGTGGATCTATTAATTATTAGTGCTACATAATCAATAAATAATATCATGTATGTCTAACCTGTTCTAATGTTAATAGTAATTATTTTCAATTGAGCAAACACTTGTGTTCTTCCACAACCAACCTCAGATCCATTTAATGACACTGATACTGATTCATATATACCAGTACTTGTTATAGTACCATCCTCGTTAATAGTAACATTAAGAATAAGATTATGATGAGTTTCAGGTCCTGTCACTGGTTCTAAATGGTCAGGATTCTGACCAGGTATTTTCCAGAATACATTTCCAGGAACAACAGGTGTTATAGTACAAGTGAATACTAGTCTATCACCAGGACACACTGGAGAATAAGATGGAGAGGTTTGAACTAGCTCTGACTCTGTTGCAGATGATAGTAAAATAAGATGAACCAAAAACAGACACCAGTAGATACCAGCAGCAATAGCCATTAGAG